ATACTTGAACCAGTGAGATAGCAGACTGATCCTACGGGGCAGGATGAAGACCTAAAAACTAAGGGAAGAAGGACTGCGTAACAATAGGGCAGCATTTGATCAACATTCTCAGCACAAGGGTGAAGGGGGTGAGAAAGCCAGTCTAGAGTGTGGAGAATTCTCATGAAAACCGCTCAAAAGAGCGCACCATACCACATTTAAATAAGCAAGTAAAAATTGTGATAGTGAAAAGATGCTCGAGGATATAGGATTGGTGATTAGCCTAGGGAGAAGGGAGAGATACTACGATTGCTTAGCAGACAATTGCTCAAAGGACCGGCTTCATTTGTCTCTTTGACGAGTTTTAGTGTAGTGCTAAGACTGACAAGACTCACTGACGATGCCGGCCAAACATCTGTGAATGTACCACGTCCACGGTCCGACTGGAAATTATCGTAAATGCAATGGACTCCGGACTAGCTGCGTTCCTCTAAGTCTTCATGACAATATGATCAATTTACGAAAACAAATTGAAATAACTTCTTATATTTATTGTTTTGCTGGTTTTTATATCTGCTGGTAAACACAAAATAAGAGAGCTATGAACTAGTTGAATGCAAGTAATAGGAGTAGAATCTTAAGCAAGAATATGAGCTATGCTCATCCTATTTCTTTAAGGTGATGAAGGACTGTTAGTCGAATTTTTCCACAATGATATGATAAGAGCTGATGCTTCCATTGAATTTCACATAGCCTCGCTTTCCCAAAAGTTGTTCGCATCCAGGGTTGGCTGCACTTTCGACACCCTCAGCGGCCCTCGAGCCATGACAATACAGCATGTAATCTCGACACATTAACTCCTATGCCACATTTCCACGAGTGCCATTGAGTCACAGGGCAGATGTTAATTTAAAGGAAGGCCAGGAAATGTGGAGTAGTGGATAACGTTTAGAGATTGCACGCCGCATTGTCATGGTCGACTCTCGCTGGGAGACAGGCTAAATTACTTAAAACGATTACTTGGGTTTCGTGACCGCGCACACGTACAAACACATATAATCGACATGAAATAGGTGAACCAAATCGTTTGAACCACATAAATCATTTTTATGTGTGTAGATAGAAGGCTGGTGGATTCTCCTGGTTTAATGGAGGCCTTAAGAAGTAATAGGAAAGAGTCAGAGCTCTGATGATGTTTGGCATATGGAATAAAAGGCTCCGCACACTTTCACCACAGCCGAAGGAATGGGTCTTGAAGGCAGTGCAATTATGAATATCTAAGAAGAATAAAAGTCGATCAGGGGTTCTCCGCAGCCATATTTTAATTAAATGGGCCTAAACAAATTTTCATCAGACGCTTTCGCGCGAAATGAATTCCAGCTCAACAATGATATATCAGGAGATTCATTGAAAATGAGCAACTCTTCGTACTTAATAATTAACCATCTCTTGCTAGTACTAATGATTTAGTGTTTTATCGCAAAATCCCCTGAAGTGTCGGCTGGTACCAAACCTAGGTCTTGGAAACGTAACTTTCCCACAGATCCCTAAACGCACAGGGCTAAACTGGAGAGCTTTGACTGGATGAAAAGCGTTCAAGAAAAAACTAAAGATATTGATCTGTTCGGGATTTATTGCAACTTAAAAAAGAATTTATGGCAAGATATGGCTGTCAAAATTACGGGGGTCATTAAAGGTAAGTTCGAATTTACTTCGAGTCTAGAAAAAGCTATGCATACTTATGCTGACGATGGTAATAATCCAAAAGCTAGATCCATCCTAAAAGACTTGGTAGTAAACATAAAATTGAACTCGTGGAACAAAAATAATGATTTATATGTACATTAACCCGTGTTAATAAGTAGATGTTAGCATAAATAGTGCAGGGCATATCAATAGAAACGCCTCCAGAGCTGCTTAGGTGTTTGCACGGACTATGACCATATATAAATTGACGAGATAAGGGAAATGTTTGTACTGTAAGCAACTTGGTTGGAGAGATTAGAGAAAAGTGAAATAGAGGCTGAGCGGAATGATGAAGAGGGCACGTAGCCTGAGCCAAGAAATAGGAGTGAACATCTAGACGGGCTGACTTGGCGAAGTCGGGCCTGGTGACCACCAGAAGCAGGCATCCATGTAACGACCGGCACGGCTAGGCAAGTAGCCTAATGAAAAGAAGCAGAGCCTCCTAGATGGTGACGATGGGCATAGCGAAACCTGCGGAGAGGGAAATGAAGCCTTTGGCGATGGCTCGGTTGACAGTAAATCAGCGGAACGCCACGAGAGCACAGTGTCGAGAATAGTAGAAAGTCTATGGCGATCGTGAGGATTGAGGGTGACGCCGAGGCGAGAGTGGGCTTTACTGCTACGAGCGTTGGCGTTTAGTATACGCAATAGAGGGGTGTACTGACGAAAATGAAAATCATGTAGGGAAAGTACCATATAAAGAGTAAAGGCATAACAACCGGGAATACATCAAAAGTGGAAAGTAGGGTCGAGCATTAATATTTGGGCCAGATAGGATACTGATAAAAAATAGAGAACGATAGCATAACATCGGTGTCTATACAATAAACTGTTTTTCGCTTGACGAGATAAGAAATGAAAGTATAAGACCAAGATGGTGTGGCCTTTTTAGTGGTCGCAGTCTCCTTCCGTAGAATAGAAATTGTTTGACCTTGTTTTCGCAACTTGGTCATACTGGTAGGAAGACTAATAGGAAAGCACCTTG